AAGAGGTATATATGGCCATAAAACATGCAAAAAGACCTTCAAACTCTCTACTGGATAAACTAATCTCACTAAAAACAAAATGAAAGTTTTTACTTTAAAATTACATACTTTAAAATAGGCGTGCCGATGGGTGTGGGGCTGCACAGGGAGAATCCCAGCACTGGGAAGGCGGAGGCAGAGGAGTGCAAGTTCAAGGGCAGCCTGGCATCCTAGAAAGACCTCCCTTCAGTGGACAAAGAGCCTGCTTAAGCAGTAAGGGACCAGAGTTCGACACCCCCCATGCCCCGCACCGCATGCCATGCTGCTGAGCCGGCTGCCAAGACGGGGTACGGTGGTGCATGTCTGTAATCCCAGCGCTGGGCACGCTGAAAGCAGGACCATCGCTGTGAGTGCGAGCTGTGTAGTGAGACCCTGTACCCAATATATAAAATATTAAAAAATAAAAATTTAAAAAATACCTCACTTCAGACAAAACAAAAGTATAATCTAATTTCATAATGAAAATGAAAATAAAAATAAAAGTGTTAAAAAGTGTAAGTCCCCAGAACAAGGCATGGTGGTGCAGGCCTTTAATCCCAGCACCCGGGGAGTTGAGACAGCCGAATCACTACAAGTCCAAACTTCATAGCGAGGCCCTGTGTCAAAACCAAAAAAGCCAAAATACAAAAAAAATTAAATGAAATCAAACTAAACACATTTATAACTATAAAAGTACATGAATATGCAGCTTTGTGAAAGGTATTCCCAATCTATTATATCATGTTTTTTTATATTTCACTGATGCTCTGTGATTGAACTGAGCTAAATTCCCAGTTTAAAAAAATCTAAAACAGGGGCTGGGGAGATAGCTCAGAGGCTTAAGCACCTGCCTGGCAAGCACATGGTCCCAAATTCGATCCCTGGTACTAATCAATCAATCATCAATCAATCAAAGGCAATCATTACAGCTCTATAAGTGGAGCAGCTATCACAAAGCTCTATTTACGCCCTACCACCAGCACCAGATAGAAAGGACAGGGGAAGCGTGGACCTCACCTGTACCCCTGGTGGTGAACAAGGGGCCAAGACCCGCAGGCCTCAGAGCTGGGAAGTGGCTCGAGTCTGAGAGGCAGTTTGGCTCCCTGCATCCCAGGGTTCACAGGCACTGATGCTAGTTCTTCCAGTTTCTTAAGAGTTAAGAAAGTTGGACTGAATCCCAAAAACCTTCCTATTTGTAAACACTGACATTTAGTTCTAAAATGTCTAAATAATTCTTATGTCAAATAAGAGACATCCACCATCCTGAATGGGATCCTGGGCCATCATTAGGCAGCTGGTCCCTGGTCCTACCCATTACTGAGACGGACAAGGGCAGGGATCTCGAATTTCCTTCAGTTTTCTTACAAGTCCATGTCCTCCTCACTAAATCAGAAATAGCAAGAAAAAAAAAAATATCACAAGACTGTTCTACTACAATGCTGTACATGGTTAGATTTCTAAATTTCTGTGTAAAAATATGTGATTGTTTATTCATATTTTTAAAATGTTTTTATTTTTTAAATTTTTTTCTCCATATTCTGTAGAGACTTAAAGTTTAACAGATCAATACTAGATGGAAAATACCTGTTCCATGTTATGCCTAAGATGGTTGATATTCAGACAGATTGTAAGGTTAAACCCAATTGCATATGTTGTAGGGTAATATTAATAGGCTTCTCTTCTGGAGGGTTAACAACCTAAGTTTGCAGACCAAAAATTAGAGAAAAAGAAGGGCTGCAAGGACAGTCAACATTATGTCCCTAGCCTTTCAAGGTCAGTGAAGACTCAGGACATAGGAGAACTATACTGTAACATCATGTAACTCATTTGTGTCCCAAATTTTCTGATCAAGGAGATTATGGGGCCACAGAGCCATGTGATCCATGATGTACAGTGTGCCTAAGGAGAGTCACATGGGGAGAAAACATTCTCTCAGGCTTTCACACAGAGCAAATTGTCAAGCAAGGGCTGTGACTCATCCAC